CCACCTGCGATATGAACAACCATGTTGTTGTGTCAATGGTGTCCACCTGCGATATGTACATCCATGTTGTTATGTCATGGTGTCCACCTGCGATATGAACAATCATGTTGTTATGTCAGTGGTGTCTAGATGCGATATGGACAACCATGTTCTTGTGTCAATGGTGTCCACCTGCGATATGAACAATCATGTTGTTGTGTCAATGGTGTCCACCTGCGATATGGAAAATCATGTTGTTGTGTCATGGTGTCCACTTGCGATATGAAAAGTCATGTTGTTATGTCAATAATGTCTAGGTGCGATATGAACAACCATGTTCATGTGTCGATGGTGCCTAGAGCCGATATGAACAATTATGTTGTTGTGTCAATGGTGTCCATCAGCGATATGAACAATCATGTTGTTGTGTCAGTGATCTCCACCTGCGATATGAACAATCATGTCTATTTGTCAATGGTGTCCACCTGCGATATGTACATCCATGTGTCAATCAACCTGCATGGTGTCATGTTTGTTGTGTCACCCTGCGATATGAACAATCATGTTGTTGTGTCAATGGTGTCCACCTGCGATATGAACAATCATGTTGTTGTGTCAATGGTGTCCACCTGCGATATGAACAATCATGTTCTTGTGTTAATGGTGTCCACCTGCGATATGAACAACCATGATGTTGCGTCAATGGTGTCCATCTGCGACGTGAACTATCATGTTGTTATGTCAGTAGTGTCTAGATGCGATATGAACAATCATGTCCTTGTGTCAGTGGTGTCTTCCTGCGATAAGAACAATCATGTTGTCATGTCAATGGTGTCCACCTGGGATTTGAACAATCATGTTGTTGTGTTAATGGTGTCCATCTGCGATGTGAACAATCATGTTGTTATGTCAGTTGTGTCTAGAAGCAATATGGACAACCATGTTCCTGTGTCAATGGTGTCCACCTGCGATATGAACGATCATGTTGTTGTGTCAATGGTGTCCAACTGCCAGTTGAACAATCATGTTGTTATGTCAGTGGTGTCCACCTGCAATTTGAGCAATTATGTTGGTGTGTTAAAGGTGTTCACCTTCGATATCAATAATCATGTTATTGTGTCAGTGGTGTACACCTGCCATATAAACAATCATGTTGTTGTGTCAATGGTGTCCACCTGCGATATGAACAATCATGTTGTTATGTCATGGTTGTCCACCTGCGATATGAACAATAATGTTGTTGTGTCAATGGTGTCCACCTGCGATATGTACATCCATGTTGTTATGTCATGTTGTTAGGTCATGGTGTCCACCTGCGATAAGAACAGTCATGTTATTATGTCAGTGGAGTCTAGATGCGATATGAACAACCATGTTCTTGTGTCAATCGTGTCCACCTGCGATATGAACAATCATGATGTTGTGTCATTGGTGTCCACCTGCCATATGAACAGTCATGTTGTTATGTTAATGGTGTCCACCTGCAATATCAATAATCATGTTATTGTGTCAGTGGTGTCTAGATGCATTATGAACAACCATGTTCTTGTGTCAATGGTGTCTAGATGCGACATGAACAAATATGTTGTTGTGTCAATGGCGTCCACCTGCCATATGAACAATCATGTTGTTGTGTCAATGTTGTCCACCTGCGATATGAACAATGATTTTGTTGTGTCAAAGGTGTCCACCTTCGATGTCAACTATTATGTTGTTATGTCAGTGGTGTCTAGATGCGATATTTACATCCATGTTGTTATGTCAGTGATGTCTAGAAGGGATATGAACAATCATGTTCTTGTGTCAATGGTGTCCACCTGTGCTATTATGAATCATGTTGTTTTGTCAATGGTGTCCACGTGCGATATGAACAATCATGTTGTTGTGTTAATGGTGTCCACCTTCGATATGTACATCCATGTTGTTATGTCATGGTGTCCACCTGCGATATGAACAATCATGTTGTTGTGTCAATGTTGTCCACCTGCGATATGAAGTACCATGTTGTTGTGTCAATGGTGTCCACCAGCGATATGTACATCCATGTTGTTATGTCATGGTGTCCACCTGCGATGTGAACAATTATGTTCTTGTGTTAATGGTGTCCACCTGCGATATGAACATGTTGTTGTGTCAATGGTGTCCACCTGCGATATGAAGAACCATGTTGTTGTGTTAGTGGTGTCCATCTGCGATATGAACAATCATGTTGTTATTTCAATGGTGTCCAACTGTGATGTGAACAATCATGTTATTATGTCAGTGGTGTCTAGATGCGATATTTACATCCATGTTGTTGTGTCAATGGTGTCCACCTGCGCTATCAAAAATCATGTTGTTGTGTCAATGGTGTCCACCTGCGATATGCAAAATCATGTTGTTGTGTCAATGGTGTCCACTTGCGATATGAAAAGTCATGTTGTTATGTCAATAATGTCCAGATGCGATATGATTGGTGTTCTGCGATGTGAACAATCATGTTGTTGTGTCAATGGTGTCTATGCGATATGAACAATCATGTTGTTGTGTCAATGGTGTCCACCTGCGATATGAACAATCATGTTGTTGTGTCAATGGTGTCCACCTGCGATATGAACAATCATGTTGTTGTGTCAATGGTGTCCACCTGCGATATGAACAATCATGTTGTTATGTGTCAATGGTGTCCACCTGCGATATGAACAATCATGTTGTTGTGTCAATGGTGTCCACCTTTGATATGTACATCCATGTTGTTGTATCATGGTGTCCACCTGCGATATGAACAATCATGTTGTTGTGTCAATGGTGTCCACCTGCGATATGAACAATCATGTTGTTGTGTCAATGGTGTCCACCTGCGATATGTACATCCATGTTGTTATGTCATGGTGTCCACCTGCGATATGAACAATCATGTTGTTGTGTTAATGGTGTCCACCTGCGATATGAACAATCATGTTGTTGTGTCAATGGTGTCCACCTGCGATATGTACATCCATGTTGTTATGTCATGGTGTCCACCTGCGATATGAACAATCATGTTGTTGTGTCAATGGTGTCCACCTGCGATATGAACAACCATGTTGTTGTGTCAATGGTGTCCACCTGCGATATGAACAACCATGTTGTTGTGTCAATGGTGTCCATCTGCGATATGAACAATCATGTTGTTATGTCAATGGTGTCCAACTGCGATGTGAACAATCATGTTATTATGTCAGTGGTGTCTAGATGCGATATTTACATCCATGTTGTTATGTCAATGGTGTCTAAATGCGATATGAACAATCATGTTGTTGTGTCAATGGTGTCCACCTGCGGATATGAACAATCATGTTGTTGTGTCAATGGTGTCCACCTGCGATATGAAAAATCATGTTGTTGTGTCAATGGTGTCCACCTGCGATATGAACAATCATGTTTGTTATGAACAATCATGTTTGTGTCAATGGTGTCCACCTGCGATATGAACAATCATGTTCAATTGTCCACCTGCGTATGAACAATCATGGTGTGTCAATGGTGTCCACCTCTAGATGAACAATATGAACAATCCATGTTGTTATGTCAATGGTGTCCACCTGCGATATGAACAATCATGTTGTCCACCTGCGATATGAACAATGGTGTTGTTATGTCAATGGCGATATATGAACAATCATGTTGTTGTGTCAATGGTGTCCACCTGCGATATGAACAATCATGTTGTTGTGTCAATGTTGTGTCCACCTGCGATATGAACAATCATGTTGTTGTGTCAATGGTGTCCACCTGCGATATGAACAATCATGTTGTTATGTCAATGGTGTCCACCTGCGATATGAACAATCATGTTGTTATGTCAGTGGTGTCTAGATGCGATATGAACAACCATGTTGTTGTGTCAATGGTGTCCAGATGCGATATGAACAATCATGTTGTTGTGTCAATGGTGTCAACCTGCGATATGAACAATCATGTTGTTGTGTCAATGGTGTCCACCTGCGATATGAAAAATCATGTTGTTGTGTCAATGGTGTCCACCTGCGATATGAACAATCATGTTGTTGTGTCAATGGTGTCCACCTGCGATATGAACATCCATGTTGTTGTGTCAATGGTGTCCACCTGCGATATGAACAATGATTTTGTTTTGTCAATGGTGTCCAACTGCGATATGTACATCCTTGTTGTTATATCATGGTGTCCACCTGCGATATGAACAATGATGTTGTTGTCTCAATGATGTTCACCTGCGATATGTACATCAATGTTGTTGTGTCAATGGTGTCTAGATGTGATATGAACAATCATGTTGTTGTGTCAATGGTGTCCATCTACGATATGAACAATCATGTTCTTATGTCAGTGGTGTCTAGATGCGATATTTAGATCCATGTTGTTATCTCAGTGGTGTCTACATGCGATATGAACAACCATGTTCTTGTTGTCATTGGTGTCCAGGTGCGATATGAACAATCAAGTTGTTGTGTCAATGGTGTCCACCTGCGATATGAACAATCATGTTGTTGTGTCAATGGTGTCTAGATGCGATATGAACAGCCATATTGTTGTGTCAATGCAGTCCACCTGCGATATGAACAATCATTTTGTTGAGTCAGTGGTGTCCATCTTCGATATGAAGAATCATGTTGTTGTGTCAATGGTGTCCACCTGCGGTATGGATAATCATGTTGTTGTGTCAATGGTGTCCACCTGCGGTATGGATAATCATGTTGTTGTGTCAATGGTGTCCACCTGCGATATGAACAATCATGTTGTTGTGTCAATGGTGTCTAGATGCGATTTGAACAATCATGTTGTTGTGTCAATGGTGTCCACCTGCGAAATGAACAACCATGGTGTTGTGTCCTTGTAGTTCAACTAAGATATGAACAATTGTTATGTCGAAGTCGATAGGAACAAGTGATGTGACTATGTCAAGGACATATCCTGCTAGTATAAGAACACATCAGGTAGACATATCTGACGCATAATTAAATGTATTGATAAGTTAGAGACGTTCCTACACTGGGTATGATTTGTTTCCTTTGGCACAGCTGCCGCCTTGAATCAAAACAATGCGGACTGCCCCGCCGACCGGAGATTCCTGCATGATCTGAAATCACTCCTGAGGTTACACCTGGGAGAGAAGATTATACCACCTGAAACTGACTCTCCGCATTGGACCGGCTCGGGTAAACGCTTCTGATTTCAGCAAGGTTACTGTACAAACGGAACCAACACTATGATGTCATACTGCATTAACCCGTGAAGGTCCGGGTTAGAATTGATCTTCAGTATCCCATGCTTGTCGTAAGAGGCAACTAACGGGATCGGGTGAACAGGCTCGCTGATGTGGCTGACACATGTCATAGTATCCCAGTTGAGTAGATCGATGCTCATGCTGTTGATCACTGGATTGTCTGGTGCAGAGTCGATTATGTACAGACCGCTGCAATACAACTGGAATGTTGCTGAGTGCGGCATAAAACTTAACTCACTCACTCACTCGTACTGCATTCTTAAACGTCTTTGTATTCGTTTGTATTGAGATCTGAATTTTTTCTTTTGATGCTTTTATTTGGAGCTGGAGGAGCGATTTTCACTCGGTGGGGAAGGACAACATGCCCGAAAGGAAATGATGTCGTGTACGAAGGTAAATACAACCGATTAAATCCTGTTCACATACGTAAGCAAAGCTCGATTTGTTTTGTAGAAACATCGATTGCACGATTCTGCTTATATCGTGAGCATCTGTTTATGAATCACTGTCAACTAGTGACAAACAGGTCTCCGCAAAAAGGGGGACGCACCCTGCCCTACACGTGACACGTCTTACAAACACATGGAAAGGCAAGTCAACTGTTCACCTGAAAAATGTGGGTAACATTTGTTACAAATCAGCATAGGGATTTAGATCGAACATCAGTTTGGTCCCTGATGCGTCAGACTTGGAAATATCTCCCACGTGTCTGCAATTAAACGCTTTGAAAGCTATACTTAGACCTTGAATATTGTAACATTGATCAAAGAACTTCTGAGCATGGAGATGTGGCTAACATGAAATTCAAGTGTGAGTCAGTTGAAAAATGCAGCAATGTCCCCGTGTTTGAATCATTAGGTTGAATACCGGATAGGACATTTTTACCTTAGTCCGAACACCCGGTGTTATAGGTTTCAGTGACACATTCCTACAACTGTTGCCGCTATTTACGTTGTTCCCGTTCATTCTCTTACGTTGGTGTTTTGAAATGTTGCTATTTTGTAATATACCTAGGACGTCATTAAAATGTAAACATTTTCTCCTCTCATTTCTAACTCACTCCTCAAATCTTACACATAATAGGGGCGGAGGGGTAGCCTTGTGTTTAAAGCATTAGCTCGTCACGCCGGTGACCCGGGTTCTATGAAGACTTGGGTACAATGAATGAGGCCCATTGCTGGTGTCCCACGCCGTGATATCGCTGGAATATTGCTAAAAGCGGCGTAAAATCAAACTCACTCACTCATGATCACTAACACATAATCACGTTGTTTCTATGGAATTCCAAAGTCTATCGTGCAATGAAGTGCATTACCAATGGGATAGATTCTTGTACAAAAACAGATGGTGGTGATGTCAAAATGTCTACTTCATATCTTGTGTATTTAAACGAAAACTGCTACACTGGAACTTGAAAAATTACAGCAATCCACAATTTTAAAAACAGAATAATTCCTTTCATTGAGAGGAACATATGCACTATTGAATATGAAAACAAGAGAACGTTGAATTATCCATTGCTTTTCTGTTTTCAACCAAGGACTGACTTACTGAGTATGGTTTTACACCGCAAAATCAAAATCACAGAGGGGGACACCAGAAATGGGTTTCAAAGAATGTTGGGAATCGAACCCGGGCCTTCGACGTGACGAGCGAACGCTTTAACCACTAGACCACCTCACCGCCCATTTGACCAAGGATGTCAAATGGTTACATCATGTGAAGAAATACTATGGCAGTTCAGTCAGTATTCATCCTCATCATTATCATCGTCATCATCAATATTATTAATTACGGTCAGAATGGTACCCATATCTCAATAAGTATGGTTGGACTAATTTCAGGTTATGCCGGTGGAAGCAATTACCAGGCGAAAGGGGGTCCGGGAACAACGCTGTGCCTCCCCGAAGCACCCATTTACGAAAAGTATACTAGTGAAGCATCAGAAAGCTATATCTTTGGCACTGAGTATCAAACAGATACAGCGAACGCTCCTCTACACCGGCTGTTTCAAGACGATGTCCCGTGTGTGGTGTGCCAGAGTCACCACAGAACAAGTGCCATCATGGTCCCTGCCAGGAACGAGTGTTTTCCTGGTTGGCATCTGGAATACAAGGGCTATCTGTTTGGCGGCCCTACTGAACATACTGGTTCCAGCGATTATGTCTGTGTAGATGGTGAAGCAGAGGCAATCCCTGGAGGTAAAGCAAACACAAACGGCCATCTCTTGTACCTGATCGACGCCAAATGTGGTGCCCTGAAATGCCCCCCTTATGTCGATGCCTGGGAGTTGACGTGTGCCCTTTGCACAAAATAAAAATGTCCAAAAAGTGTGTGTTTTTTCAAATTATTTATACGGCAGTGTATTGGCAGAAACATTTCACTTCGACATTTTGGGAGCTGAAATGTTGAACCGTGACTGTTGCAGATTCTACGATATACATGCTGCATTATATTTCGAAGACAGTGTAGCCGGTCAACGCAGCCATAAAGGAAAGTTTCCGCGTTTTCTCGTATTTGTAAATCATTATCGAAGGGGAACATCATTCATGAACGCAGTTTCGTGTAGACACTATTTTAACTCATTAATTGCTAGCGAAACTTGTTAAATAGTATACATCCACTATCCATGAACACAACGGAAAATGTATGGGTTTAAACGCATATACTGTTTAACCGATTATACCGCTTTTAGGACTGGCTGTCGATACAGATAACAGAGATTGATATTCGTGAACTATATATCGATCGATTATCGGTTAATATCGAGCAAAAAAAATTTCAGCAAAAATGTCTGAAAGAAATGAATATATTTCACATCACTGGTGAGTGGTTAAATGTTTTTGCATGGATTAATACCGCATCCTGAACATAATTTATATCCAGACCCTGAATAAAGTCCTGAAACTGCAGATTGTGTGAGAAAACCTTTTGAAAAGTAAATGTACGATAATTTTCATATCGATAATCATAGATCATTTTTCCTGTGGACGATATATCCAATTATCGATAATTTTAGCCAGTCCATTCTTACTGACTTGGTTGACACGCCATAGAGTCCCAAATGCGTAGATCGATGCTCATGCTGTTGATCACTGGATTGTCTGGTCCCAAACTCGATTAATTAAATACCACAACCATATAGGTTGAGAATTGCTGAGTGCGGCGTTAAAAAGCATGCGTCGACATGCCTAAAACGGGGACACCGTTTTATATATCATCAGTTACTGTACATTCACTTACGGTTTCAGTGTTCGGTACGTATGTACCTACACAATGTAAACAAATGGCGTGTGGAAACGCGCGTTTCAAAACCTTGGCCTCTCAAAAGGGAGATAACATACACCGAGCTACATGTGCTCGAGTGAATGGACAGACGATTCGTAATTGGATTCACAGATGGAACCTGCATGCCCGACGGCCATGTGTTATGGTACGGTTGACATTACAGCAAGACGTCGTTGGTCAAAAGCGACAGCGCTGGATTTAATCGTCGTTGGGGAAACGGTATGTTTTGGGATGACTCAATGTTTAGTTTCCAGTGTGGCTTAGATGAAATGAGCGGTTTCATGCCGTTTAACGTTATACAGAACAATGTTTTTGACGTGGTTCAGTAATGGTGTAGGGATGGATCACTGTGATTAGCAGAAAACCTTTCGAGGTTATTCACGTGCGTGACACTTTGGATGTCTGCTACCGTGACAACATCCGGGAGACACACCTGGTGCCATCCGCACGCCGACATGAACGTCGTTTTGTGTTTCAGGATGAAAACGTCAGAAAGGGCACGTATGGTTATGTACGTCCGACAGAAGACCATACCCACCTTACCATGGCTGTCACATAGGTATATCAGGGATACCATTGCCGTATGATACGGTTAATGACGGAATTAACGGACCAGCATAGATGTTTGATCACAAAGTTCAACATCGATATGTTATCACATAGTTCAACACAGATATGGGATCACATAGTTCACCATCGATATGGGATCACATAGTTCAACATCGATATGGGATCACATAGTTCAACATCGATATGGGATCACATAGTTCAACATCGATATGGGATCACATAGTTCAACATCGATATGGGATCACATAGTTCAACATCGATATGGGATCACATAGTTCAACATCGATATGGGATCACATAGTTCAACATCGATATGTTATCACATAGTTCAACATCGATATGGGATCACATAGTTCAACATCGATATGGGATCACATAGTTCAGCATCGATATGGGATCACATAGATCCGTATCCCCATGGAATCAGTGTAATCCCTCCCTAAATGGGTGAAAGAGCTCACATTCGCATAAACCTTCTGCAGAAGAATCACACAACTTTGGAGTTCCGAAGGAAGCTTGTATTATGAAAAACTCTACAGTCTTGACTGGTAAAAGGACTGTGGTTTGACCCCAGTTGCGAATACAAATAGTACACGTGTTTCGGTGCAATTTTACACCTCCTCCAGAGAAGAGCATAAATTAAATATTACTGAAGCGTCTTAAAATCATTACGATTTGCCTTACTTTAAGCATACTTACGTACTAAAGTACTGTCGAAAATAGTAAAAACAAACTGTTTTTAACCTTTTACTCTGTATCCCTAAGATTTACACAATTGCAAATAGCATATGTCGAAATAACCCACATCGGCCTAACTGGGCGTGCAGTGGGGTGCGTAATAGGATATCCAGGAAAGCATGGTTACTCGTAAAATTGGACAAAAAAATACCAACAGTTGCTGAAAACAATAGATCAGCCTATAAATGGCAATTAGGTCGCTCAGCCAGGTATGACGACGGACCGTCGACTCACCTGGCATGAAATGCATGTGCTGCCTACGGGCACAAGGAGTCATCTCAAAGATATTTTATGTGTTGAATATGTCTCATCTGTTGATTGACATCTTACGTGTCTTTCTTTCACAAAGTTTACGTGGAGATATGTAAAAGAGTATGATACCTATAGAAAAGATTAAATCAGCCTTTGTATTAAATGTCTCAAAATATATAGGTGGCATGACCACCTGATGATCGACAGGACTGGATAGTATTTGTAAATTGTTATGACATGCCGTATGCTTCCCCAATCTATTTCCCCTAAAGGATTATCTTATCTCAGCTGATATCTCTATCACCCATCCCGACCCCAACCACCGTTTGTGTAACCCGTCCTGACACACCCTTTGAGACGACTCCTGCTACCTGTTTCTTTTTATGGTGATAGTGAGACTCCATGGTAGCTACATCCTTAATAGTTTCAGTATTAAAGTTATTATTGTTTACGTCAGATATCGTTTATACTAAAGATAAGTATATTTTTGAAATGGGCATTTAAAAAGTGCCCTTTGCAATACAGTATCATCGCACACTAAGTTGCATAAAGTCATGGATTGTTCCAAACAAGTCGCTTTGGACTTAGAGAAAACCTGCATTGCTTATTTCTGCACTAGTCTCTCCTCAGTAAAGTCCTTTTTCTACGTTTCCTATCTCCCTCCCACTGACACTGTAGTTAGGCCGAACTTAGTTTAACCGATATTTCACACTTTCACATATTAACTACATAAATTGTAGATATAAATGCGAAACATCAGGGTTTTTTCTATTTCCGACAGTACTTTAGCATTACAATCACATAGATCAGCATCGATATGGGATCACATACATCAGCATCGATATGGAATCACATAGATCAGCCTCGATATGGGATCACATAGATCAGCCTCGATATGAGATCACATAGATCAACATCGATATCAGATCACATAGATCAACATCGATATCAGATCACATAGATAAACATCGATATGGGATAACATAGATCAGCCTCGATATGGAATCACACCGATCAAGCTTGATATGGGATCACATAGATCAGCATCGATATGGAATCACATAGATCAACATCGATATGGGATCACATAGATCAGCATTGATATGGGATCACATAGATCCGTCTCGATATGTAATCATACAGATCAACATCGATATGGAATCACATAGATCAGCATCGATATGGGATCACATAGATAACATCGACATACGGTGTATGTGGTGGTTACTTGACTACAGAGTTCAGCAGGCAGCACATTTTGTTCCTTGTACCAACCTGGTGAGGAGGTACATGTGGCGTCACTGAAATAGACCGATCCAGTCTGTCAATCAAAACTGGCGCATGCGTTAATTTTGGCCAATCAGCAAGCCGGGCTCGCTGTGTGGATTTGTCAGATTTATTTCCGGGGTCAAACGATGCCTCCGAAGCGATGTGCTTCGAATTATGCCATTTACACTCGCTATATCTATTACATATTGCTGCGATTTGATGTGTACCTTTAACAAAACCATTACGATCAAGACAAAAGATCTGAGGCGGATCAAAGAATTCGATAGGCCTAACGAGCAGTTAAATGTCGGCACCGTCATTCACGAAACCTTCGTCTGCTCGAATGTGAGAATTTGCACGAATTTACACACTTTCTCACATGTGCAAAATCATTACCAATAGATGACAACAAATAGCAGTTTAGGATTTTGCAAGTGTTATGAACACGGACAATTCTTGTAACTACAAAATTGTTTTTGCTTCACGTTTTTAGTCACTACTGGACATTGAGTTGGTACACCATAAACCTGAAATGAGACAGGCGAGAAAGCCGTGACACAGTGTAAAGAAATCTGACAGCGAGCTGATTTCGGCTAGGGTCGACCGAAACATCAAAACTTGTTACATTAAAGAACAATGTGGTGGATATGGTTGCCTTCGCCCTTAGATATTCCCGAAATTTGTCACATATTAGGATGTTTTAAAGTTTCAAAAGCACAATCTGAAGGCCTATGTACAGTACAGTATCTGTTGATAGTGCAAAATATTCGAGGAGTAATATTTTTTATACAAACGGAAATATTGTCAGTGTCAGCAGTTGCCTATTACGCAATATCAAAATATCAAAATATCAAATGAGTGTCTATAAAACCATGTCCTAAATATTTCAGAATTTCTATAAAGAGATGGGACCTTGAATTGATTTAGCTTACTCCATGTGGATCGAAGACGAAAACTATATATGTGAGAAAGAATACCGTAGTGACTTTCTGGAATACCGGACGGAGTGAAATATAAGTTTATTTCCTAACTATGAGAACATTATTTGTTTTGCATTTTTGTTACAGCATAATTTTTTTACATGTAGGGGAGGTACATTGGTACATTTTAGGAGTAATAACATAGTTCTGTCATTTTAATTATAATTCACTGGAAATGATAGCAAGGGATGTTTTAAGAATCTTCCCACCTTCAGGAAACGTGGAAAGGTAATA